ACCTTCTGATTCAACACCGCTCGTGCTCGTGTCTGTACATTAGCACTAGAGCGCTCTTGCGGAATCTCCGTGCGTCTATTTTTCCTAATGTGATTCGCTGCTAAAGCAATGAGATGCCAGAGGAATACACATTTTCTGTGCAGTAGTATACGACTTTTTAGGCAATTTTGAACATTTCCTAGGTATCCGCATGAAGCATTTGGGAAATCAACCATTTCTGAAGTATCTCCGTCTGTAGTTCATACAACTTTATTTGTATGTCCATAGGTAATTTTTTAGCAGGGTTGGGTGGGTTTTTTTTAAATCAATTCGATCTTTGTGTTGGCGAACGGGGTCCTTTGGGTTCGCAGAGCCAAGGAGAATATGACAGTTGTGGAGTTGCACTGGGATTCATTGAGCCCGGAGTATGTCAAATGCATTTGGAGCCGCCGGGGAATTTTAGTTCTGCGGAGGAGGGGGGAGAACATTTTCACCACTGACTCCTACAGAGTCAACCTAGCCCTGTGCTTCTTAGCGGATAGGGAAGGAAACTTGCCCCGAATTGTATCTCTGGGGGGCCAATACAAAGTGTACGCCGCACACTGAGTAGTAGGTATATTACTGCGTGAGATGAACTCAGTCTTGGAGCCTCTTCATGCATCAGACACTCCTAGCACATTTCTACCATACAGCCACTGGCTTGGCTGTGGTTAGGAAGCATAGTTTATCTGCTTTTATCTTGATTGAGTCCACATGATTTTGAACTTGCAGCTCAGGTCCGGGGAGATCTAAGTCCTTTGTTTCCCCTTTGAATCGTTCACAGCTTACAGAGTCTTCTCGAGCAGGCTGGCTTAGGTCCAATTAAGTTTATCTTTGCCATTTGGGGACAATAATATTTTCCAAGAGCTTCCCACTTGTAGCTAGGGTCTCCAGCTTTCCATTTCCTGCAGATACATGAGGTCTATAGTAATCTGTTTACTGAAGTGGATTTGAACGGTTTTTTTTAAGGAAGTAATTGTAGGACTGTACTGGGGTGGGCTGGGGTGGGTGGAAGGAATCAAGTTTTTTTTAAGGAAGTAATTGTAGGACTGTGCTGCGGTGGGCTGGGGTGGGGGGAAGGAATCAGCTTTAGAACATCCGACAGGCCAAAGTCAGGAGACATTAGTCCTCATTAAAAAAAAATCACATCTCCGCGAAGCTGCCTGAAGGGACTCGACCTACAAACTGCTAGCCCGCTCCCTTGCAACGCGTTTGCAGACTGATCGGGAATGCACACAGGTCTGAAAAAGCTCCTTTCCCCCAAATCCGCCTGCCAAAGCCAACTGGGACCAAGCCGCCTGAAGGAGGCAAAGATGCGTGTATCAATAATGCATCAGATAGCTGGAGGTCACCTCTCCTTGCAGAGCCTTGCACGGCTGCAGTCAGTGGCTATGGTTCAAATGGTAAGTCAAATCAGTATCAATAATATATATACAATTTTCTCTTTTCCAGGGCGTGGATTCCATGCCGTACAGGCGCGACGCCAGCAGAGCGCCCTTTAGGAAGACAAGTGCAGAAAAGTTTTATCCAGCGATAATTGGAATGTTGATACGATTTCACACTGCCAAGATAAATTAATTTTTTTTTTGGGGGGGGGGAATCAGAATTTCCCAGTGGGAAGGTTTATTGAGAGTCACGCAAGTGCTGAGTTATCAAAATATGACTTAATAAGTCTATGTGCATAAACTAAGCAACTTTCCCAACCAAAAGGTTTTAGTTCGCTACGATTCTTACTTAAGTTTGGCTCGCTCCGTTAAACATACCCTGGGTTTACTTAAAGTCCATGTTAGCAACACACACCGCAGCTTAGAAGTCTTGGGAAATGCCTTTTTGCCCGAGGGAAACCACTGTTAAATGTGCAACTTTTATATCAGGCAAATTAGCAGCCAGGCAGAGTGTACATTGGCAAATTTTAGCACTTTTTTTTGTGTGTGGGGGGGAATAACTTAGATGCAAAATGTGCTGGGTTTGGAGGCGACCGGACAGCATTGAGGGGGTTTTGCATAAATAAACAGCCCCATCGCCAGAGACTTGGGCATAACTGCAAATGGAAAACAGGTTAGTGGAGGAAGTCGCTTGACTACGTTCTCTGCTACGTTTTCGTGTACTCTGGCGCTGGGAGGGAACAAAACACACCACAAATGTTGCCTCTCAGAAGGCAGCTCGTACTAACCTCAAAATAGTATCCGAGCAAATTCCATTGGAAAAATACATAGTATTTCCTTTCCGCGCCTGCCCCTTCGGTTCTCTGCATGCGTGGTTATTTTATTTTATTTTGTTTTATTTTATTTGGTTTTATTGTAGAGTTCTCCGTGAAATGAACTCGATTAAAGTTCAGGGTCCCTCCGGCTGATTACTAGTAAACTCATTTGACTTTTTTTTAAGGCAACCAGAAGGAATGCGAGACTGCAGTCTTCATTCTGGCTTTTATGGTGGTAACTTTGGTGGTCAAATTCAAGTGCTGGGCGACTCCACAGCTGTCTTTTCTGTGCTTCCTTGCAGGAAGCCGGAAAATCCTGCCCTTTAAACTGGGTTTAAAACACAAAATGGCAACAGGGCTTGTTTTAGAGATATTTACCTACTCCGAGCAATAAATTATTCACACACCTATTGGAAGGAACCCACACATACATGGTAGCGACAACGCTGAGGATTTCTTCTCTCTCCTCCCCCCACAATGAATTCTTTTAACTCGAATAAAATGGGGAAGAAATAACCCCTGTAGGTCGTGTCTAAATCTACATTTTTACTCGGGGCCGTGTCCATTTCGGCGTTCGACTTTGCTCCATGCAAGCTTCAAAGAGGAAGGAATTGGAAGAAAAATAATTGCTCTGGTAAACAATAGTTTAAGACGACTAGATCGTAGTTAGTACTAATATTTATCCATAAAAAGATCCCTGCCACTTTAATTAAAAGTTTTGCCCAAAATGACAGCAAAGACATAAAACGCGGGGGGAGGGGGGAGCGGGGAAGAGATTACAAAACTAAGACGCACACCTCGACCCCTTGGAGTTCTTTACTCTGTATTTATCAGCCCCCGGTGCAGTAGAGGAAAAATGCCTCCCAGATTAGAGATACATCTATGCAGCCACACACCGAGATCACTGATGCAAAGAGAATTTTTTAAAAAAGATTTTTGGCTAGAAAAACATCAACCTAGAGAAAGCATTCAAATACGTGCAACAAATAAAATGCTCTGTTGCATTAAAACTGGAGACACTGTTTAAATAAGAGAGCGTATTATTAACGTAAAAAGCCAGGGGGGGATGCACAATACGTTATTAGAAATCGGGGCATATTGCAATGAGATATTATTTTGAAAGCTGGTCTGCAGTGTCCAATGTATTTGTCCCTTTGTTTCTTAAATGCTCAGACTTCAACCCGGCTGCAAGGCACTGATCAGCCGGTATCTTTCCTATCATTACAAAGCACTTTTGAAAAGCATGTTGCTTATAAATGTCATTATGTTTTTTTCTGGTATTATTATTATTATTATTTTAATCAGCGTCCACTTCCTCCTGGGAGTTTGGGGAAGAAGAACTTTTCGGTTCTCTTTACATCGCGTCGGAATGTAACGACCTGCTGACTTAAAATGGAAAGAAAAAAAAAACATTAGACCATCGGAAATGAAAAGTAAGAATCAACATATCTGGAAGAAAGAGGAGTGCACCTCGGAGCTTGGTTTCTTTGCGTTGTAATTGGTCATGACTTGGATGGAGTTGCTGATAGTTTTCAAGATGAAAGGCTTAGCAAAAGAAAACCACGACGAAAATCATGATTACTCTTCTGGGTCCTAGCAATATTGTTTACTGATACCTCATGGGTCTGTGCTTTGATTCTGTCTTCTTGTTGTTCGAACGTATCCGCATCCCTCTTTGTCAAGCTATCACAAATAAAGGCATTTTACTCTGGGATGGTGTGTTAGTTTTGTTAGCGGGTATTTAACCTGTCTCCAAAAGGATCCCACGATGGAGTTGAGTTGAGTTTAGCTCTGAATTTTTATTTATTCTTCCTCTTACTGAACAACAGCAAAAGGGGAAATACAGAAAATTAACACGGGGGTGTCCTGCAATTAAAAGAATGGGGAATGGTAACTCAACAAAGGATTGCCTTATTTTCACAGAAGGTGAAAAACACAAACATCGCTCTTTGAAACAGAAATACTATGAACATCATTTTTTTTCGCAGTCCCCAAATTATTTCCAACTCAGGTGGGGGAAAAAAAGCCCCGAGTAGTATACCACCATATAAGTGGTCGCAGGATAATTTGGTGTTAGAAGAGTTTTGTGTAAGGACACAAGAAATACTATCAACCCACAGTATCAGTCAATATTCCCTGTAGGTCCTACAGGTATGCCTTGCCATATTATTTAAAGGAGAGCGTTTAGATTGGCAATTGGCTGAAAAAACTCACAAAATATCTCAGAGCACTTCATAGCACCAGTATTTATTCCATCTCAAAACACTGGAAAACACACAGAAGCATAAAGCTCTTGGGAACACAAAATTCAAGACAAATGACTTTAATAAGAATCTCTCTCTTTTTTTAATTCAGTTGGAAGAATAAAAGATGCGAGTAATTCTGTACGTACATTCATTGATTGACAATAAACACTTGCATTAAATATTTAATATGCCACTCTTCCATAATAAATATTTAACAAAACATTAAAGGGGTTTTTCGAATATTTATTAGGCACTGACTTAATTCATTTGCTCGATTCCCTGATATATGACTATTTCGATATCCAAAGTCATTAAGCCAGACGTGGAATGGCTCGGTTTTAGTCTGAGGTAACTCTAAAGTTTCAAACTTTACACACACTGGTCTTGCTTAAAGGGTGTATTCCCCACAGTACTTGCCACGTTGGTTTATGTACAGTTGATATGCACATAGATAGAACAATGTAATTAGCTCTTATTAGAAGCTTGCTAATTAGCCCCTTTCCCCCGTTCCCTCCCCAATTATATAGTCAGCTATGATTTAAAAAGCCCATTAGCATAGAGATTTGTGTATGCCCCACTGCAGCAAGATTTTGAGAAATGTTTGAAAACTTACTTATGAATCTTCAGCGCATTCCTTGGGCTTACTTAAAGACACTACATTGTCACCCCTAAAATGTGACTAGCATGGAAAGAAAAGGAAAAAGGGGGGGACGGTGGAAAAATACAAGTTACCCAATCTCTAAGACCCTCCCTCTGCTCCCAACTCCTTCCAGCAGCCCCCACCCCATATCCGAATCCTCGTGAAAAATAGCAAGCAGAATCCAAATCGGGAAGGAGGAGGAAGGAAAAAAAAACAACTTCACAAACCATTCCTTGTATTTGCCCTCTGCTTTGAATGCTGACAAGGGGTGTGCCTTAAGGAAAATGAATACAAAGCTGCAATTGATTTTCATAATGTTTCTGCGGTGTTTGAAAACCAATCGTTTGAACCTCTGAGAGCCTACCTAAGCGAACCACTCCTACACATCTAAGTGCTCCAAACTGATATATGACAATATCTACTTTGGATCACGTGCTCCTTGGGGCGACTAAGACGGATAGCGCGTCATCTCGCCTTCCCAAATTTTTCCCCCTCTGCACATCGGATCCAAAACATCTATCTATAGGAGCAAGAAAAGGAGAAAGATGTTTAACTCAGTGAACCTGGGCAACTTCTGCTCCCAGGCGCGTAAAGAGAGGGGCGCTGACTTTGGAGACAGAGCGGGCTGTGCCTCCAATCTCTACCTCCCCAGCTGTACCTATTACGTCCCAGAATTTTCAACTGTGTCATCCTTCCTACCCCAGGCCCCCTCTCGCCAAATCACCTACCCTTATTCCACTAACCTCTCTCAAGTGCAGCCAGTTCGAGAGGTCTCCTATGGTCTAGATCCCTCTAGTAAATGGCACCCTCGAAGCAATTACGCATCGTGTTATTCCGCGGAAGATCTGATGCATAGAGAATGCATCCCGCCTTCCACCATGACCGAAATGCTAATGAAAAACGAAAGCGTGTACAGCCACCACCATCCCAGCTCCAACCATCCCGCGCCTACGGGATTCTACTCCAGCATGAACAAAAACAGTGTCTTGCCTCAGGGCTTCGACCGGTTCTTCGAAAATGCCTACTGCGGGACAGAGAACGCGCCTGAGAACTGCCTGCAGAAAAGCGAGAGCAAACTGGAGTCGGACTCCCAGCCCAGAGCGCTCTCATCCCACGGAGAGCCAGGCATGGACCCGGAAGACGAAGAGGAAAACACGAACCCAGGGTCTTCAGCCTCGTCCTCTTCTGTCAACAAGGAAGGAAGCAAAACCAGCAACTCGAGTAGGTAGAGCAGTGAATGCAAAGGTTAAGGGACTAGCCCGGTGTTTTGTCGGTCAAATTTTATGTGGAGTTTTATAAGCATTCAAAGGATTTTATTATAACCTACAAAGCTCTTTCTTCCAACGAGAAGAATTTTTACGATGGGAAAGCTCTTTGAAAAAAAATGGAGATGTTAGGCGCAGACCCAGTATCTGAGAGTCTGTGAAATTTTAAAAGCACACCATCGTGGCAAATATGAACTTTGATCATGAACTTACACGAGCATTTTAAAAGGATTTGATCCCGGGTTGCTGAGGGTAAAAGCCAATTGGGCAGAACACGGCTGTAGCTTGCTTTTAGGCGCTCAGATGCATGAAGAGTGATTCTTTTTTAATTAAAAGTATATGTTGGGGGCTTTCTTTTCTCTTTCTCTTTCTCTCTTGGTAGGGGGGTGTGGAGCTAAATGCACAGGGGACAACATTTTAATTCTCTCCCTAGTCTCTGTTTTATTTTATTTTGTATAATTGCATTGATTTTTCGCAAAGCTTAGTGGAATTTCTGTCCGTTGTCATTAACGTCAGATATAATTGCATTGATTTTTCGCAAAGCTTAGTGGAATTTCTGTCCGTTGTCATTACCGTCAGATTTTTATTTTATTTTTTTTTTTAAAATCCCTACATTTCTAAGAAAACGTAGAGGTGTATTTAAAATTCGCAAGCCAAGCAACTTTTAGACTGAGCGATATTTTTGTCTCTCTCTCCCCTCTTTTGCTGTTTGGCTCCCTGATGGAAACAATGCGTCCCTTTTTGCTGCTCAGAGCTTAAATTCTATTTTACTTTGATTATTCTGGTGTGTGTGGATGTTGGTCCTGGAGTTAATCAAAAACTTATGCGGAACATACTGTCTAGTTCCTACAGTTCCAAGATTGCTCTCGCTGTTTCGATACCAATAACAGATTTGCAGCTTGAACGTATGTTTCCCAAGAGCTACAGATTCTTTCAAGCCCCGCTTAAATTAATTGCGCCAGCATCTCTTAACTGTGCTTTAAAATATGCCTAGCACAAAATCTTGTGTCGAGATAGTGTATTTACCCCATAGCTAGAACACAAACCTTAAAGCTATCTATCGCCTCACCTCTGCATTATACTAACAATGGGCAAAATCTACCAGTGGCGAAATATTATTCCATGCTTCTATACGTGTGTATATAACCAGCTCTAGAAAGGAGTCTGTGTGTTGCTTTTGCTTAGTATTTACGTTCCTTTCTGGTTTCCTTCCAAGGTGCTCCACGCACAAGAAAGAAGAGATGTCCCTATTCGAAATTCCAAATCAGAGAGCTAGAGAGAGAATTTTTCTTCAATGTCTATATAAACAAAGAGAAAAGGCTTCAGTTGTCTAGGATGCTAAATCTCACTGATCGACAGGTTAAAATTTGGTTTCAGAACAGAAGAATGAAAGAAAAAAAATTAAGCAGAGACCGCCTGCAGTATTTTTCTGGAAATCCCTTATTGTGAACACGTCCTTTTTTCTTTTTTCATTCCTTTTTCTTTTTTTTCTTCTTCAATCCTCTCTGTTGGGGAAGTAGCTCTGTACGAAGAAGGAACTCTGGAAACATAATTGTGATCTACACGCAACATCCAAATGGCAGCCTTTTCGTTACTTATATTTGTATGTATGGAACAGTTCTAAGTAACGTAAGGAGACGAGTGACCTAAACGTTTGGAGGACTGGGAAACCAGGGACTTTTTATTTAACGTTTTGACTGACCAACCGGAATTTCTTTCTTTCTTTCTTTAACTCTTTACCCCTCCCTGTCCATTTGACTCAGTCGCGGTGCCGTGTTGTCATGATCATGGTGGGGATTTCAACATGCAGTTCACATGAGCTATCACAGCAAGGGCCGAAGCCTCCCTCTCTGGTTAATTTAGATACCTTGATTTGGGAGTAGGGGGTGGAGATGTGACTGGAGGCACGCAGAGACATATATATGAGAGTGTGTACTCACACCGGTCATGTGGTCTCTTGCTCTCTAGGCCAAGAACTGTTGTCGAA